GAGGGATAATTGTTTAATAAAAATTCTGAAACCAATTAACAAGGCATTATAGTTGTGTATTATCATCAGCATTGATTATTGGCTTTTAGTTTACTAATTATCCTTCGCTGGTTCCCATGAAACTTGAAAAAATATCCAATTTAGTTTTGTGTCGAAACTAAGGACTTTATTTACTCCAGGGAATGAAAATTGTATATGGAGTATTGTGTTAAGTGATGGGTGTTGTGGGCTAATCATACGGATAAGATAAAATTCTACAGACAGACAAACTAACCTGACTCTGGAGCCAGCTAATGTAACTACACAACACCTATATAAATATCACACTCGTTGTGGGATAGAACTGTTAAAAGATCTTGTAAAGTCTGTGTCCTGGTCCCCAGTGTGTATGGTCTGACTTTATTGCAATACAGCTCAATAAAATCTACTACCCAGGAATCAAATTGACGTTAACATTTCACCTCTTCAACTGTTGAGTTGGCGGAATTATGTTAACATTTATATCCTCATCCCTGGAGTTAGTAGAATAATGTTAACATTTCATCTCCTCAACCCTGGAGTTAGTAGAATAATGTTAACATTTCATCTCCTCAACCATGGAGTTAGTAAAATAATGTTAACATTTCATCTCCTAAACCCAGGAGATAGTAGAATAATGTTAACATTTCATCTCCTCAACCCAGGAGATAGAAGAATAATGTTATCATTTCATCTCCTCAACCCAGGAGATAGTAGAATAATGTTATCATTTCATCACCTTAACCCAGGAGATAGTAGAATAATGTTATCATTTCATCTCCTCAACCCAGGAGATAGTAGAATAATGTTAACATTTTATCTCCTCAACCCAGGAGATAGTAGTATAATGTTATCATTTCATCACCTTAACCCAGGAGATAGTAGAATTATGTTATCATTTCATCTCCTCAACCCAGGAGATAGTATAATTATGTTAACATTTCATCTCCTCCACTCAGGAGATTGTTGAATAATGTAAATATTTCATTACCTCAACCCAGGATAATTTTCTTCATTTAAAAAATGTTTTGACAATTTCAGACAAATTTTAGTAATTTATATAGTTTTCCAGGTTTAGATATATGATCTCATATATTTATGTTGTCGCACCGTACCGTTTCCTGGGATTCTTCTCCCCCCCCCCCCCCCCCCCCCATTTTTTGAATATTTCAAATGAGATCATGAACAATGTTTAAAAGGTAGGCAGATGAAACTTGCTCAAATTGAATAGAACTATACAAATCTTGATTCAGAATATATAACATTAATTTTTATTGCAAAATAAACAAGAGGACCAATGGGCCTGAATCGCTCACCTAGTATCAATCTCACACTTATAATCTTAAAAGTGGACTAATATACAGCTACAGGCAAAATAGATGTGTTCGATTCATTTGAATCTATTAAATGATTTAAACATATGACGCCTGTGACCTTGAAAGTCGAACAAGGACATTAAGTTGAACAGAGTTTATAGCCTTCTGTCCCAGCATACTTCTAGTTAAATATCATTACCCTGGACCTTTTGAATATTCAAAACAAGTCATTTAATGATTTAAATATATTTGATCCTTGTGACCTTGAATATTAGCGAAGGTCATTTGAACAAACTTGCATAAAATAGCTTCATCCTAGGCCTCTTGGTTATTGAGAAGAAGTTTTTTAAAGGTTTTAAACATATTTGACCCCTGTGACCTTGAAAATGGGTGAAGGTAATTTGCTTGAACAAAATTGGTAGCCCTTTATCCCAGCATGTTACTGGCGAAATAGCATCATCCAAGGCCTTTTGGGTATTGAGAAGAAGTTGTTTAAATGTTTTAAACATATTTGACCTTTGTGACCTTAAAAGTGGGTCAAGGTAATTTATTTGAACGAACTTGGTAGCCCTTCATACCAGCATGTTACTGGCCAAATATCAGTATCCTATGCCTCTTGGTTATTGAGAAGAAGTCGTTTGCAGATTTTAAACATTTAACCCCTGTGACCTTGAAAGTGGGTCAAGGTAATTCATTTGAACAAACCTGGTAGCCATTTATCCATGCATAACTACAGGCCCAATATCAGTACCCTGGGCCTTTTGGTTACTGAGAAGAAGTTGTTTGAAGATTTTAACACATTTAACACCTGTGACCTTGACAGTGGGTCAAGGTCATTCATTTGAAATAACTTGGTAGCCATTCACAATGGCAAATTACTGACCAAATATCATTATACTAGGCCTCTTGGTAATTCAGAAGAAGTTGTTAAAAGATTTTAAACATATTTGACCCCTGTGACCTTGAATATATGTCAAGGTCATTTATTTGAACAAATTTGGTAGCCCTCTATTACAGCATGCTACTGGTAATATAAAATAGCATCATCCTAGGCCTCTTGGTTATTTAGAAGAAGTTGTTTAAAGGTTTTAAACATATTTGACCCCTGTGACCCAAGTAGCCATTTATCATAGCATGTTACTGCCAAATATCATAGTCCTAGGCCTCTTAGTTATTCAGAAGAAGTTGTTTAAAGATTTTTTAAGACAATTGACCCCTGTGACCTTGAAAACGGATGAAGGTCATTCATTTGAACAAACTTGGTAGCCCTTCAACCCAGCATGGTACTGGCTAAATATCATCACACTGGGAATTTTGGTTATTCAGCAGAAGTTATTTCAAGTTTTTAACATATTTGACCCATGTGACCTTAATAAATAGGTGAAGGTCATTGATTTGAACAAACTTGGAAGCCCTTCATCCCAGTTTGCTTCAGGCCAAATATCATCATCCTAGGCCTTTTGGTTATTAAGAAGAAGTCATTTAAAGTAAAATATTGACACCGGACGATGGACGCCGCACCACGGCATAAGCTCTCTTGCCTTCGGGCCAGGTTAGCTAAAAATTCAAAGAATTTGCTGAATGGTAGAGTGAAAAACAAAACAAGAGGCCCAATGGCCCAGTGGACTAAAATACAGCTACAGGCAGAATATCAGTATGACTTTGAATGTCAAACAATGACATTAGGTTGAAAGTGGGTCAAGGTCATTCATTTGAACAAATTTGGTAGCCCTGATTGCTACAGGCCAAATATCAGTTGTTTAAATGTTTTAAACCTATTTGACCCATGTGACCTAGAATATAAGTCAAGGTCATGTATTTGAACAAACTTGGTAGCCCTTTATCCCAGCATGTTACAGGCCAAATATCATCACCCTAGGCCTCTTGGTTATTCAGAAGAAGTTGGTTAAAGAATTTAACATATTTGACACCTGTTACCTTGAAAATGGATGAAGGTAATTTATTTGAACAAACATGGTAGCCCTTCATCCCTGCATGCTTCTGGCCAAATATCATCACCCTATGCCTCTTGGTTATTCAGAAGAAGTTGTTTAAAGAATTTAACATATTTGACCCCTGTGACCCTGAAAATGGATGAAGGTCATTTATTTGAACAAACTTGGTAGCCCTTCATCCCAGCATGCTTCTTGCCAAATATCATCACCCTAGGCCGTTTGGTTACTGAGAAGAAGTTGTTTAAGGTAAAATGTTGACGACGGACGGACGGAGGACGACGGACGCCGCACCATGCCATAAGCTCACTTGGCACTTTGGGCCAGGTGAGCTAAAAACGAAGACGTTCTCTCAGTTTGGTATGAGGTATAATAGTGAGTGAAATAGATTTTTCGTGGTTTATTTCTGTATGGAGAGTGTTGAGTATCCTTTTCATTCGCACATAATGGTGGTTCTTCAGTGTTTTAAAATAATTTCTTTTTAAAATGGTTGCGTGGATATACAAAAATAATTTGTGTGAACTGCATGTATTTTCTTCCTCCTCATTATACAGTTTTAGGCTAAGTTTTGCATTCCAAAAGAACTACATAACATTGATAAAGACACACGTGGGGGTTATAAAGTACTTTTTACATTGAACGTAATTAGTGGTCTAATCATTTTTGCAAAAGATACAATTGTTTAATTATCGCTCAAAGCTGAATCATATATATGTGGAGCAATATGTTGGCTATTTGTTGTATCTTCCATATTGAGATGTTTACTTTTGATACAGTCAAATTTTCACACCTGATTGGGTAAATTGTATGTGCGTGAAATATCAAACTACAATGTAGCATATGTATTTGAACATTTCGCTTACACCAGCCTCAGAGACAAAATGTGTTTAAAAGCTTTTTCGGCAAGTTTATAATAATTTAATATTGTAAATCAAAAACATGCTGTGGCACTAACGGGCTTCCGTACTTATCAACTTCTTTGAAAATCTATATATAATAATTTTTATAAGGATGTTTTTTGCAATTAGAATCAGTGTTAAAACAATGTGCAATATTTTTTGCACTCGGAACTATTCTAAGTGCAATCAGAGTTCCTAGAACTTAACACAGTTTTCCCCGAAACAATTTACAAATATGCGGACACGAACAATCTCAAGTGGAGCAGCTAGTGACCAATATTGTATACATATTAGATTGTTTATTAGTATGTATTGATACTCTTCTACGACGTATCTATGGAAATTACCATAAATAATTTCAGGAAACCATTTTCAAACAGAAGCAACATGTTTTCACAATTTGTTTTTGGTAACTCGCCGACATTTTCAAACAGGATCAAATAATAAACACAAAATATAAGAACGAGATGAACGACTTTTATCACATAACGTACTGTGATATCCAGTGAATATTTACTCATATAATGTGACCTATCAGCCCTAGGCCTGTGATTGGTTGTAAGTTTTAATTGTGATGTCATGGCTAGGACAAGCACATGACGTCACAGACTTATGCACTGGAGTCAAAATGGCGGCTTTTTACATTTCAAGGTTGCATGAAAAGTGTAGTTTTACACCAATAAATGCCACAAATCTTGATTATGTGATAAAAAGGATCTTACACTCGTTTCCATTTCATATGAGATTTATGACACTCGTCACAAATTTTTCATTTTAGCTCGTTTCATAAATCTCATATGAAATGGAAACTCATGTAAGATCCTATATGTAAAGCATCCTCGATACCCAGGGATAACGCTCACTTACGCTTTCAGGAATATGTCACAGCCAAATCGAAGGCTCAGTGTACACCGCCTTGTGGATGAGAAGACTAGTTTGATCCTTTGATGTACATACACTATAGCATATTTTGAAAATAAAAATATCAAGCCACCGGGACCAAAAGCACTTTATGTTAGGAAAAGACAGTTTTGGATTAGGAATTTTTGAATTACATCAAAATGCACCGACAGTTAGAAATACTTATTTATATCGACCGGTTTAAACAATATGGTTCATAGTGTTCAAAACGACTGTAATTTTTTAAATGTCTGAATTTGGAATCCGGTTGAATAAATGTGTGTATAAAGAGTGAAAATGAATGTTTTACAATATAAAGTATAAAGGATTCAGTTCAAACAGGTTTAACTGTGTTTCATGTTATGCTCAAAGGTTGTTTGGATAATCAGCTTCATGTATGAGGGATATAACAGAATTAAATATATGGGGATGCTAGAGGTCACTTTTATACTTTGTGGCCCAGACACAATTATTTTTCATTTGGCTAACTAAAAACTATATATATATATATATATTACTAGATTTGAGTGCCGCCCTGCATCTTCATATACTGGAATAGCCGTTACATACACACATCTGGAATAGCCCTTACATACACACATCTGGAATAGCCTTTACATTAATTAAGACACCATTTTTCCTGTGCAGCAGCAGCAGCAGCAGTTTGTCCCAAAGATGTTATTTTCAGTGAGAAATGTGAGAAAATCTGAGAAGCACTATGTCTGATCACCACTGATTCATCAATATCTCCTAGCTCTTTTATTACAAATATACATGTATAATATGCTCACACATGATAGTACATAAAAACCAACATAACCAGATATTAAGCAGAACAGTCACAGAAACAGTGGTCAAATTGCCATTGTACCAGCGGCATAGTGTTTACTGTACCTCTCCAATGTTCTAACTGCACTATTAATATCACAGAGATGTGACAGTATTAACCAGGTTTTGATATATTTATAATGTCGAGACTCGACACCGGAATAACTGATCAGACACACACACACAATGGTCACATGTGTAAACTTCCATGTTGTAACTACAACAGAAGCTGTTTGTAACTATCACAGAAACATTTATCGTAAAAGTGTTACTTAGGTATTTCCACTTCATCAGACATATTTCCTCTCATCGTCTGTTAGTAAGTCTCTTGATATCAATAACCGCATCACTTCATTCGTACCTGGTAAATAGAAAGGTGACACATGACATACAGACATGGTATTTACATATTACACTACATGTCTATCAACAACGATCATAAAGGGAACTTACTGTATCTTACCTTTGACAAGCCCATGCCTGGTAATAAGCCCACATGGACTGTATGACCCTCACCCTTATGTCAATATTTAAAAAAAAGAAGCTTTTATTCAGAGATTGAGTGACTCGCATCTTACCTTTACCCTTATGTCACATCTATATTTGAAAACATATTTAACAGGTAAATGTGAAGGTGACATAATAATAATAAAAATAATAATAATAATTCGAGGTTCTTACCGCTTTATCACAAACTAGTTTATAGGTCGTCTCAAAGCGGTTCTCAAATTATTATCCATGGTTATAGGGCCTTTGCAACCAGCCAATATCCTTCTTAACTACCTGGGGAGCATACAGCTGGAGCTGCGATTTCGGCGCTAACAGCTAGCATTCAACAATTCTAGCACTGCCCAACCACGTACTCATTTACAGCTGAGTAGACTGGAACAAGCAGAGTAAAGTATCTTGCTCAAGGATACAACACAGTGCCATGCCGTGACTCGAACCTGCAACCCTTCGATCACGAGCCTGGCGTCCTACCACTAGACAACTGTGCCTCCTAAGACATAAGGGTAAGGACCATTCAATCTCTGATGAAGGGCTATCAGCCTTAAAGCTTGGATCTCAGAGTGCCTAAACGTGGGGTGAGGTTGGGAGGGGTAGAAAAGTTGAGATCTAATACCCCAGTAGTACTATTTACATAGAATTAGAAGACCATTCCTTTTAATATGCATGGATTTCTTTCAGGGAAAACTTAAGTTCCTTAAAAAAAACAACCTTGGACTCCAGGATATTATATGTTCAAAGGAAAATTTTGGAGTTTGAGATATGTTTGGGAGATCTTTAAGTTTCCTTCATATATTTTAAATATTGGAGAATACAAACATTGAAAAATTGCAGGGGGAAAGTAAGTTGATATTACCTTCTAGAATCTCATGTACTCGTGTGTCACGCATGTACTGCTGTACTGGGTAGTCTTTTAGATACCCATATCCACCGTGGAGCTGTATCGCATCGTTACATATCTGTCAGGAGGGATAACTCCAGTTAGAAATAAGTCAGGATTACGTCTAAAAAGCATATTCATCTAGCTACTGCCAATATTATACTAGTTGTATAAAATTAACTTGCAGTGTATGTGTTCATGATAAGAAAGTCTAATCTCTAGTGAATGTTACATAACATGTTATTCAATGAATGGACTGGGTCTATCAAAGCTTCACCAAATAGTAATAGTTTTTGATGGTCTTTGTACATTCAAACACTCCAAGTTGTAATAATTTACTCAATATGTAATACAATACGTTTAAGATTGAATTAACTCCTGCATAATTCATTTAATCCATCTTTTCGTATTGCAGAGTTATCTGCTCTTGTGAGCAGGTATTGATTGTTACATCATTTGTTTGTGAGAATAGCATCATACATTTTTGAGAAAAAGATGTAACTTTCTCACACAAACTAATGACATAACAATCAATACCTGCTCACAAGAGCAGATAACTCTGCAATACGAAAGGACGGAATACAAAGTACAGTGTGTTTATGCAAGGGGAGAACATAGGATTTCATCTGTCAATTAAGAAAAGAATCATAATTTACATATATGAATATGAAAAAAATATATAACTATTTACTGAATTATCTAATAAAATCACGCACATGATTCAGTAATTCTAATTAACAGTTTTATGACATAAACCCTACCTTTGAACACTCATCTGTAGCAAAAAGTTTGGCCATAGAACATAGGATGACCCTCTCCGGCCAGTTCTCGTCCAGTGCCCGGGCAGCTGTTCTTACCATATTCCTGGATACAACTAACTTAGTGGCCATCTCTGCCAGCCTAAACTGTAAATACTATCAAGGGAAAACAAGGAACAAAGGATGAGATTTGTTGATGAAATATCAAAGAACTCTATTTTCTAGTAAGTTCTTTTTAAAAAATGGGGTTAGTTTTATGGCGAAACATTAAAAGACTAACGTCAAAAAGATAAATTACTATCAGAATTTTTTTCACTGAGCTATATTAAAAATCAAATAAATCTAAAAAATCTTATAGATATAGATACCAAAACTTGTATTGATTAGTGTAGAAAACCTTACCCCTTCAAAGCAAGGGCTTTCACGGCAATGGGTTTAACTTCATAATATAAAAAAGTATATTATTACTGCAATGTTTTATAAAAATGTTTAGGATCACGACAGCATTCAAAGCGTACCTGAAAATTATCCAGTGTTTTTCCAAACTGCTTCCTAACTTTTAAATATTCTCTACAGAGTTCTATACTCGACTGGGCTGCTCCTAGTGAACAAGAAGCTGTAACAGAAAACATATCAACAGTGATCAATCAGTTACATATAGTTCTTGCATAGCTCAAAACCACAGAGTTTATCTCTGGAAGGAAGTTTTCTTATAAACATTATACTTCTTGCAAGTTTCTACAATTGTGATACATTGCAAACTAGAAAACTTTTTGACTTTTAAATACGTTAAAACAGATTTATATTTTCGTACAGCCGTATAAAATCCTCACCAACATTTATTCTACCCCCGTTGAGTCCCCTCATGGCGATCTTGAAGCCATCCCCTAACTGTCCAACAACATTCTCCACAGGAACCACACAGTCCTCAAACATCACCTGACGTGTTGGCTGGGAATTCCATCCAATCTAAGGGTGAGATAATAATAATAATAATATGCATGTTCAACATTTGATATAGCACTCTAGCCATCTAGTTAACATAAGCCACTATGAAGCGCTTTACAGTACATAGATATACAATACAATTAGCATAAACATTAATCAATACAATTTTGAGGAATTTGCAGGAGCTGCCTTATGAGGCGCTAACTACTAGTCCTATGCCACCTGGCTAATATCTCCCTATGTATGTATGCCTGCCAGTGTGCTGGAGATGTAATGTGTTCTGTTTGTAGTGGGATCTTGCTCCCAATGTCATCATTTATAGTACCACCTCACTTGAATGCTACAGCACAGATACCGCAACAACCACCCAAGACCAATTTATACTCCACCTGGGTAAACACTTTCTCTGAATATCCATGCCTGGGGATCGAACCCCAGTCGCCTGCATGGAAGGTTGAGGTGTTAGCCACTCGACCAATCCCCCCATAACAAATTATTCAGTTGGATTCACAGACTGTATAACAAAAGTTTAACTTACTGTGCAGCTAATTTGATTACAGATGTGGTACAATTGTTTTCAATAGCCATCAGTCCACTGCTAAGATACATTAAGTCAATAATAAGATGTTGGTTATTCAATGACACCCTTTACTAAGACAATAACAGATTATACTGTGTCAGCAATATATTCATTAAAGATAAACTCTACCAAGATGTCGATACTTACTAATGTAATGTCAAGCATGCAAAGAATATTTTTTCAACAATCTTTTGACTTCATAATTCAATATTACATAAGTAGAAGTCTGTTTAAGGACAGTATTCAATTTGTTACCTTTTCATAGCTCACTTGGTCTTTCTCAGAACAAGACTTCTACTTAATGGGACTGTGTTTTATTACACTAGATCAGTAATTATAAGTTTCTGGTTTGATTAGCACCGGATCGAAGTCCTTCAATAGGTGAAAGGGAGACAACTAATGAAACTTTGTTTACCTTCTTTTCTTTTTGTCCAAATGACAGTCCAGGAGAGCCTTTCTCGACCACCAGACATGATATTCCTTTGGCCCCGGGTTCTCCTGTCCGACACATGACCACATAAACATCACTCTCTCCTCCCCCACTTATAAAAGACTGAAAAATTAATCATATCGTACCTTATAAATTTACATTAAATGCTCAGGAAAAGCTCTAATATGTGTTTATAATAAGATTTTCATTCATGGCTTTCTATAAGATTGCGATCATTTTGACTTACTTATGTTACTCATGGATTTGTTATTTTTCATGTGTTAGTTAGTTCAAATCATTCAAACAGTTGAAACAGAATACAGAATTATGTTTAAATTGAAGAGATACAGCATAACTACCGTTAAATAATATAAAACGTACTATACCTCGACTATCTTTCTAAAAGATATTTCTGATCTTAAAGTTAAAGAAATGTTTATAAGAAGAAATTCGTTATTTGCAAAGAAACTAAATTCTAAGTTTTTTCACTTGTACATGAATATCTAAGTTTAAGTTAACTTCCTTAAATTTGTTTAATAAACGTAACACATGCAGATAATGTAACCCCAAGTGTTATCAATGCATGTACATTGTACCTTTCAACTGGGTCATTAATTATTTTCTATTTACCAGTGTAGAAATCTTCTAAATAGGAGATACAAGTCATAGTATGGTATCATATCTCCTTAAGTCACTTATATAAAATGTATGAAGGATGTGCTTGTGTTTAATAATGTTGCCGGTATGTAGAGTATGGCGGAGTGGTACAGAGCATCATGATTATCCTACCTTAGATCCATTTAGAACATAGTGGTCTCCTTTGTTAATGGCTGTCGTCTTGATATTAGCTGCATCACTCCCATAATCTGTTGAATCAAATGAAGTAACTTTGACACTTACAATAATATCTTTACATTCATACTGAGTCATAGTTTATCAAAAAAAATCAAAAATCAAAAGACTTGATTCATAAAAAATGCAAATAAAAGATTGTGGTATTAAATTCTTAGCCTTGTTTTTTTTATAATTTTTGGAAAAAATCTCCTGCAATTAGCATCATGACAATCAATCATTAAGAAAGTCCTCCCATCTCTCATTTACAGTCTTATTACATGTATATGGAAAGGCATAGATTCCCTTTATGTAACACAAGTGTATAGGATTATATATGCAAAATCACAAACTACAGATTGTACATAAATTTTGATAATGTAAGACAGATATTTTTTTTAAAATCTTACAAAGCAGATTCCCGTGTGTACTGGTAATCTATTGTGAAAGATTTGTGGCAGAGAATGACTATAAAAGCTACATCGGTAGAGTGTGTAAATAACAATGGACCATATGTTGAGATCATTGAAGTTATACAGCATCCCTTAAGTACATTTCACAATCTTCAAGGAACCTGTGTAAGACGTACCAGGTTCTGTGAGACAGTAGGAAGCAAATTTGTTCAGCGTAGCTAAATCTGGAATAAACCTCTGTCGCAGGTCGTCACAGCCAAACTCATCTACCATCCACGTACACATGCTGTAAGTATATATAGATACATAAAATATAGGGCTAAATTACAGACCCTCAAGCTTGTATATATATTAAGAATCTAACCCTGGCTGTTTGCATGGATTACACAACTAGCTAGCCTTACTATTTACCAATTCCCAAATCATGTATATTGTGGAATAAGAACCACAGATTCTGGGAAACAATGTCACCATGCATTGCTAATGACAGTTCCGGAATATCTTATTAAGATCTTCTTTGAAAGGTCTGCTTTCACACCAAGCAGACCTTTTCTGACATATAAGGACTTGGAAGTTTTTATAGGTATTTTTGATGTAAAGTTATTATTGGTCCATAAAACAGATTTAACTTTCTTTTTGATTATGCTTATGTTCCATATAACATGAGATAAGTGGTTACAGTGGAAGGGAGACTACTCATTGCATATGCTGCAATTTACCAGCCGCATCTTACATACATGATCTTTTTTGTTTATCCAGAAACAAATACATACGTAGCTTTATGCCTTTCAAACTTTACAGAACAGAGGCTTTGGAAGACTATGCCAAGGCTAACTAGAAAACAATCTAAGATTGTACATCTGGGCAGTCATAGAGACCTATATCAAAATTGAAAAAATTACAGAAAAGATCTGTTAAGACTTTTTGCAAATAATTTAAGGTACTAGTGTTCTCACTAAATTTTGAAATTGCTGCTACTTTGGCTGGCAACAGACTTTAAATCAGAACACTGGGTACTCTGATCTGCAGACCGGCTGGTAATGCTTGTATTTTTGTCATTGGACAACCTTTAGAGGATTATCTCCCTTCCCACCCACACACAGTCACAAAAAGTCATAGGGGTCAGACTAACTTATGGATACTGAGGTAGGCAGTAGTACTGGTACATCCCTGGGACAGGGCCTCGAATATCATAGAGGCGTCCAGTCTGGTCAGTCCGGTACCTCCGTAGTTTTCCTTACAGTATATAGCTCCGAACCCCAGGGCAGCACAGCGCTTCAGCACGTCAACTGGGAATATCTCCTGATTGAAAAAAAAATCCACAAAAATCTGTAGAAACATGAAATAACAGTATGGTTTCAAACCCTGATTATTCTTTAATTGTTCTTCCTTTAATGATGTCTACAACTTTTCTCGATATATATACGGGATATTTAGATTTTTTTCTCTCCACAAAATATGGTACCTCCTAGTATGTGCATTGTAATAACAGGGCAAAGAAATATCCTTCACCTGATCTAACAGCCCAAGGCATACCGTCCCTAACCTGAAGAGGCTGTTATTTTTGAAAATTTTAAGGATATTTTGTTCTGCACAAAGATCTTTTTCAACAATAACAGCATACAGCAATCACATATCTGATCTAACAACAAAACAGAGTCTGCAAATTTGAAACATGTTGGAAACACTGGATAGTGATAACATTATGTTGCATACATCTGTTCATCATTACAAAAAGCCTATGTACCTCTTGGTCCCACTTTGCCATGTTGGGGAATAATTCTTTCTTTGCAAAGTCTAAGGCGACCTTATGCATCTCTCTTTGGTCTTCAGAAAGTCCAGTACAAGCTTTAATGTAAACAAAGATAAATTTATGTTTATACATTCATTTTCAAACAATATCAATCATTAATTATTAATTTTATTCATATTAATATGTAACCAATGTCACTTTTTCCAAGTTCTTCTTTAATCAGAGAGGAGTTGAACTTGAACTACAGAAAACATTTACTATTCCAGTGTACTTTCTGTGGCTTCCTCTAGCTAAGATTAAACAGTTCACCACTGTGACATGAACACATACCATGTATATATACTCCCTCCCGACCTTTAATTGTCCTCCAGTCTTCAAAGTACAACCATGCATGCTTTATTTGCGATAGCAAGGTTTATATAACAAGAGGTCCATTGGACCTGTTTGTATCGCTCACATGGTTTTATATTTAAGTCATTACAACTGAATGCATTAGTACATCTTTATATGAAATTTCCTCAAAACCAGACAAGATTTATGTTCTAACTCAACTGGGAGCACAATATCTGACTTTCAACTAATCAGGGGCTTCCATTGAGTTGCCATGTTAACAGATTTTGAAATAAGTAATATGTCATATAACAGCTGGGTGTAATTAGACAATACTTCAATTTTCATTCAACTATAAGCTTTTATAAACCTAGAAACCAATTTCAACAATTTATGAAAACTGCACCATAGAATTTGATAATCTAGCTGTAACATTTTTAGGATCGCAGGGGTCTATAATCAACCTCATTCAATTAAGAAATTTTTTACAATCCACTGAGGCAATTAGGGGGTATTATCGTCTTAAAGCAAAATATTAGATAATTTTCCAGTTTGTGGCCCGGTCTTTCAAGCCTCAGGTGTCAAACCAGTTTCATTTATTTAGGAGGAAGTGATTGCCCTAGCTCCCTCAATGAAGTTTCAGAGCAAATTTGGTTGAAATCTTCTCTGGCGTTTAGGAGGAGATGTGTTATAAAGCAAATTTAGCAAAGTTCCCCTTCAGGGCCCCGCCCCTATGGTCTCAGGGGTCAAACCAACCTCATTTATTTAAGAAATGATTGCCCTCCCCTAGTGATGCTTCAGACTAAATTTGGTTGAAATCCTCTCTGGTGTTTAGGAGGAGATGCATTTTAAAGCAAATTTAGCAAAGTTCCTCTTCAGGGCCCTGCCACCCTGGCCTTAGGGGTCGAACCAATCTCACTTATTGAAGAATTGGTTGCCCTTCCCTAGTGATGCTTCAGACTAAATTTGGTTGAAATCCTTTTTGGCGTTTAGGAGGAGATATGTTTTAATGAAAAAGTTGACGCCAGATGACGACGCCAGACGCTGCGCCACGGCATAAGCTCACTATGGTCCTTTGGACCAGGTGAGCTAATAACCAAGTCCCCACATTGGCATGGGTGCCAATTGCAATGTATATATAACAGCATGCAAGAAAACTTTTTCTAAATACTACTCCTAGGCGATCCCTGACAAGCTGAGGACTACAAATTCCTTCGAACTTAATCATCTTAAACAAGTGTCCAGATGTATGTTCATGAAGTTCACCACTGTGATAAATAAAATATTTCACATCATAAATATTACATGTGTTACAGGAGAAAGAGAAATGTAATGGCCACTCAGGGTTCAAACCCAGGACCCTCCGAACTCTAGACGGATGCTCTACCAGTTGAGCTATCTAGATCTGATAGCAGCAAATTGACCAAGAACAGTTCTGCTTCACATGAACATGTATCGATTAATGCTGAAAATGTTTGCTGTAATAGTCTGCTATCAAGTCTTACCACTGTCATTATAGCTACTAGAAACATTTTCAAGATTTATTTATACGCTCTTTTAATAAGATACAAAATGTAACCACCACAAAATCATCCTTGAGATATGATGTACCAGTAGGTATATATACCAGGGTACATGTACATATTAATTTTTGTTTGTAAACATGTACATGTACTGTTAATTCCTGTAGGAACTCTAGTCTATCTAAATCAGAGATTTATAACTATTGTTATACATCTCTGATTTAGATCGAGTTCCTACAGGAATTGATGTACTGTATATTGTTTATTAATAGTTCCAGTTTGGAAATCTTGACATTAATTTCTTTTTTCAAATTAAGTTTTCTATTTAAGATTTTGTAGCGTTTTNAAACGAATTTGCGGGCGCGCAAAAACCTCCGAGGACACTCATTCTTCCCAAATATGCATGCTTATCGACGTATTTCGGTACTTTGTACTGTTACGATCGACCTTAAATTTTGCACACACCTAGATATATGAACAATANTCTTGTATGTGGTATATCTAAACTGGAATCTTTGAAAACAAGATGAAAATCGAAGTATACAAAGTAAAATTCACATGACTGAGATTGTTTCGGTGAGGCNGAGGCGGATCGGTGGTTGTTCTGAAGGACAAGAGGTGATATGCGTGTTTAAAGCGTTTCAGGCACGATTAAGGGAGTTCAACATGTCCAATGACAACTTACGGTCAATACAGCTTCCGTCCACCCAGGTGTCACCTATACTCCGGGTCTGTGATGCCATTACTCGCGGCACTCGTGAAAACAGCGAATGTAAACATCGTGTCGTCCTACTCAGGGTCGCCATGTTTGTTGATGAAGCTAATCGGAGTTATCTCCCCTATATCGATTCTTGTTTTTGGGCAGGATGCATATGCCATCTGGAGCTTATAGTTTATACATTATAGGTACAGTATATATTATAGGTACAGTACATATACATGTATCTAAAAATATTAATAATGCATACATTATAAATATTTATATTGAAAGATATTTGCGTTCCATAATTTGAAACAGCAAATACATAAATATACGGTAAGCTAATATAAACTCCTTTTGATATCGTTTTTGCTTTACATTATAGCAGGGATGTGCACGTGTAGCATCCCTGATTGTAGCTAACATATACGTTTACGTGTACATGTATATAGAAGCGGCCAATTCAACCTACCTGTGATCGGAGGTCCAAGGTTCGAATCCCGGTCTGGCCCTTCGCAATTTTACTCTCAGTTTTTTTGTTTTTTTGGTGGTTTTTTTTAACTTCTCTTTATTATTATTATTATTATTATTATTATTCAATTTCATAATATAGTTTCTCAATGTATGGATTTCCATCCAAAAATATGATTTATTAAAGCAATTAAGTATCGTGGCGTTGTTACAGTTTTTGACAGTAGTATGTGGATTTTAACCCTTGATTATCAGCTCTTTGCAAACAGTGATATCCAAAATGACGTTGCTGAAATGTCTTGTTTTTTTGTTTGGTTTCGGTGTTTCCTGCATTCATCAAGTGTGTATTCAAATATCTGGCTGTTGTTGACGCTACTATCTTCTGCAGGAAAACTTTTTCCATGTGCCGATAATTATTAGGCTGAACGAAAATGTCAAACTAAAACCAATATCTTGCAAACTACATCTATATGGATGCGGAACTAAATTACATGTACAGTGCAACAATGCTTTGCAATGTGCCCCTCCCCCTTTATTTTGTGGTTTTCCAGCTAAAATACGAACTCTATGAGAGAAAAAAATACCAAATTCGTGATGGCTGGTTATCATGTCTCTCTAACTCTAATAAATTAATTGTCAAAGTGTGAAAGTAAACCTCGTATCTTTATTTTGAAATGTAGTTTTTGACAACGTCAATGTGTTTCGCTAAATTATTACACCAGATTTGATCATTGGCTTGTGGTCACTTAGCAAACATGTAGATGGACACGAATTTTTGAACGTGGTCTATTCCATGTAATCCGCTAAAACTGAACATATGCGACAGATCAATTTTTTTGGGCCTGCGATTATTGTCAGTTTTAGCGGACTATATAGTCCATGTACCGCTTCGTTTTAGTGAAGTGCAGCTATTGAAATAAAACCGATGAGTTCTTTCATTGTTCTCGAAATTCCTATTGTTTTCCTATTTTCTTTTTCTTATTCAATTCAAAGGCCCAGAGCCCAAAGATAATACTACACTCCCACTCGTTCTTCTGATTGTGGCGGAGTAATTTATTCCCAGACTAAAAGCCCGCATCGAAATGTATTCTCATGTCAATGATTTTGATAACATAATGTACACTTACGGACTTACGCAGTTAATTACTGAATGTACGCATTATACTGAACATTCGACATCCTTAATAGACGTTATATTGGTAAATAACGATTTTATAATAGATCGGTCTTATGTAGGGGAATCTTCCTTGACCAACCAGTAAGATACCATTGTCCCATCTATGCAACTCTTCATATTGCTCAACATTCAACCGACTCGTACCGAAGTAAAATCTGGCTTTATACATGTAAGCATGGAAATTTTGACAAACTAAGAGAACTATTAGAAATGTCGGATTGGCCTCAAGTATATGATACTAATATCGATCTAGCATGCAAGCGTCTAACTGACTTCATCGATTCCGCTTCTTCTTCGGCTATCCCTAACAAAACGGTCATTATGAGAAAACGTGATCATCTATGGATGAACAAAAAAATCAGAAAATTAATATCAAAACGTAAAAAAAATCACAATAAGGCTAAACTTACTGATAGCCAATCTGACTGGTCTATTTTCAGACAAACCCGTAACAAGTGTGTAAATGCCATTAGACAATCTAAAGAATCTTATTTTAACGGTTTGTCATCAAAATTATCTGATTTAAGACAATGCAACAAGTCATGGTGGTTAACTGTAAAACTCTTCATGAACAATAGTGGTAAATGTGGAGAAATACCAACGATTTTTCATGATAATGTCTATTACGAAACTGATGTTGATAAAGCTAATGTTTTTAATTTATATTTTTCAAGTCAATCCGTTGTGGATGATTCAATGGTTATGCTTCCTCCACTAATAGAATTCCCTAATCGTATTTGTCTGAGTAATATAAATATATCATGTACTGATGTTAAGGATGCCTTACTCAATTTGAAAACTGGTAAAGCTGTAGGACCAGATCTTATTAGTCCCAAAGTGCTCAAGGAAGCTGCAACATCACTTGCTGAGCCACTATCTATATTTTTTAATAAATCCTTATCACAAGGAATATTTCCATCATCGTGGAAAGAAGCAAATGTTTTACCTATATATAAAAAAGATAGCCGTAATGATGTTAAAAACTATCGACCAATTTCACTTTTAAGTATAATTGGTAAAGTGTTCGAGAGGTGCGTTTATAAACATGTTCATAATTTTCTTCTTGATTTGAAAGTAATAACAAAATATCAATCAGGTTTTACACCAGGCGATTCCTCTATTAACCAATTATTAAGTATTTCCAACGATTTTATTAAGGCATTAGATTCAGGTAAAGAAATAAGAGTAGTATTTTGTGACATCAGCAAAGCATTTGATAGGGTTTGGCACAAAGGGCTGTTGTATAAATTATCAAAAATTGGAATAACTGGATCACTGTTAAAATGGTTCGAAAGCTACTTAACGAATAGAAAACAAAGACTTATAATCAATAATATTCACTCTGATTGGGCAGGAGTTAAGGCTGGAGTTCCACAGGGTTCAATACTTGGACCTTTGTTGTTTTTAATCTATATTAATGACATAGTCAACGATATCAAATCTTCTATCAAATTATTTGCTGATGATACTACTCTGTACATGATAGTTGAAAACCCCTTAGAAACAAACAACATTATGGAGTCAGATCTACAAAAAATTACTGAATGGTCCAAATCTTGGTTAGTTGATTTCAATCCTAAAAAAACGGAAAGCATGACCCTTAGTAGAAAAAGAAACAATCAACCACATCCAATCTTACATATGTGCAATGAAGAAATATCAGAAGTACTGTTGCATAAACATCTTGGAGTTCTTTTTTCGAATAATTGCAGTTGGGTTGAACATGTTAAACAAATAATTCAGAAAGCAACGTCTAGATTAAATATTATGCGATCTCTAAAATTTAAACTCGACAGGCAAACATTACAAAATATATATTTTTCGTTTATTAGACCACTTGTAGAATATGCTGATACTGTCTGGGATAGCATTCCCAAAGAATATATTTCTAAACTAGAGAATGTTAACTTGGAAGCTGCTAGGATTGTTTCAGGTGCTACTAAACTTGTAAGCTTAGACAAACTATATACAGAAGTTGGATGGAATAAATTAATAGACCGTAGACTTAATCATAAATTGTTACAATTCCATAAAATGTTTTATCAAAATACTCCAGAGTATCTGTATAATCTCTTACCTAATTCAGTTAGTGATGTTCATAGTTATAATACCAGACTTTCTGACCCATCATGTCTGTCACCTATTCTTTGTAAAACAAATATTTATCTAAATGCATTTCTTCCTTCTGCTGTAAACAATTGGAATTCTCTTCCATTACATATTAGAAATAACCCTTCCATTTCCCATTTAAAAGCCTTTCTGAAATCTAATAGTAAATCATGTCCACCTTCATACTACTTTCAGGGTTCACGTCTGGGTCAAATCTACCACGCAAGACTGCGTATGTCATGTAGCTCCCTAAAAGAACACTTGTTTACGAAAAACATCATACCATCCCCGAATTGTTCCTGCGGTGCCATTGAGAACTCAACACATTATTTGCTAAAATGTAATAAATATACAGCACTTAGACAGCTTCATATTCTGAGTTTGCCGTATCAACTATCAACTAATCTTTTAATCTTTGGTGATGACTCTCTAACCCATCAAGAAAACACTACGATTTTTCTAGCCGTCCAAAATTATATACTCAAAACTAAAAGATTTCAAATAAACGAATAGTCCTTAACAATTTCATTTTGACATATATATTTATATGTATGTTGTGTTGCATTCGTTTTACTACTATGTTTTAAAATGTTTTTGGATTTATATGCTTATTCAGTGATTTTGCCATTGCATTTCTTTATACCATATTATGTCACTAACTCGCCATGATTATGATTGTTTGATAAACTGATGTGTTACTTGAAAGAGCAGGACGTACCAGGGACGAGGCGGGAAAGTATTTTATGGACTTATATTTGATAAGTGTGATGGCTAGTATGTGAACTGCAACGTTTTTAATAATCATGGCGGTGCTTTGTGACATACTAATTTTGTCAATAGTTGATTTAGTGGTGATTTATTCTATGTAACTTGTATATACATTTTAACCTTTTTCGAGTGTCCATTTACAGGACTGCTGACATTTTCATCTACTATTCTATAGTTATATTTTACAGAATCGTGTTCGACATACTCATTGCAATAGAGCAATATGATATTACCATCTGATGATCATATGTATATTGATATATTATTCATTCCTGGTTTCCACTGCATACCAATCCATTACCCCCTCCCCTATTCTCGTAATTATTCTATTGTACATATTACTTTATTCTTGTAGCTAGTGTTGAAAAGTTGATTACTAAGCAGGTAAAAAATTTACATAAGTGTCACGACACTTGTTTTTGTTTCCTTTTCTTTTTATAAAACATGTATTTCGATGTATTGTCAAACAAAATTTGAATAAAACAAAGTTTAAACCAAAGATGTGTAATTCTGTCACAGCTAATCAATTTCATCTGATTTCGATTGCACGTTTTGCCCTTTGAGCATGCGTATCACGTGTTTGTAGAGC